ATATATAGGTAGAGATCAGGATAATTCACTCTGGTGGGAAGCAGAAAATAATAGAGGGTGTAATGTGCTCGTAAATGCTTCATATGCAATACTTTCTCACCTCCTTAACTCTTACATTACTCCTTCCCCCATGCGATGCCTCCTGATTATGTTAAATGGCGTAAACTCCCTCACCATAGCTAATCAGCCACCATTCTCAGTAACTTTCACAAACCTATTATGCTATTCACAAAGCTATTCACCTATTCACAAACGCCCACTGACAATCCGTAGTTCAGCCTTCTTCCAGACCCCAGCACACTTCTGCCTCCTCACAATTCATTTACAACCCAACTCATCTGACCCCACGACTTCTTTCAAAAATGTACTCTCCCACCGGGGTAAACATAATTAATCAGTTTTATTTTTAGTCCAGTACTTTTCAACTCCATTCTACTTTCAAAATCAATTTATTATTTAACGATTCATAAATATTATTGCACTCTGTACTGTTTGTTAATTGGTACAACTGCAACGTTAAATTGACCTTGACATTGATACAAGGTCATCACTGAAAGAATGCAACACCCAACACAACGCCAACAGGAGATATAGATTCAGGTATGTAGTTACTAAATAAACAAAATAATAATAACAATGTAATAAGTAGGAATGCATTTATTGCAATATTTGATAAACAGATCAAAGGCAACAGGACCGCCATGTTGCATGCAAATTATGCTAGATAGGTTGCTAAAATCTGCATTATTTAATATTTTATTGGGCACCAGGACACAAATGCACAGTTGAAGGACGACGGACATGTTGGAAGAGATGGTATTAACAGTTTAACAAGAGTTTGCAGGAAAATTGTGTCCACCAGACTCGATTGCCAGCTTTCGCCACTGCTGCTTTCTGTTACACAGTATTAAGTTATAAATCAAAGATTTGCTTTAACAACTGCTGTAAAATGGAGGAAAACCTTGACAGCCAATTCTCATCCGTCTATTTTTAGATCATAAAATGCCCCAGAGTCACATGAGCGTTATTTATAAACACGGAACGTATAGCGTGGGTGTCACTTATTTATGGAAAGTCTGGAGTGAACCCGTGTTTAAATGTTGTTATTTTTGCAGAGTACACCTACAGTGTGACTGACAAGATAGTAGTCTTAACATTTTCTACATGACAATGAGATCTGTTCACTATACAGTGAGTGACGGTGAACGGGGAATTGTTCAATTCCGCAACTGTGACCTGAAATATGCGAAGTAGTTTTCACTTCACTACCATCGCTGTTTAGTGAATACGCCCCTATGTATTCCTACCAACTGAATTATTGATATCATGGACATAAGTCATGCATTGTTTGTGTGTATATTGATTGATTGGAAGGGGAAATGTCCCTTTTTTGCAAATTACACAATAAAACATTAAAAACATCTGCTCACCTTTTCATGTGATGAGGCTCTGTTTTCCTTTAAACATAGTGGATGTTACAGGTTTAGCAATTCATTTCACAATCTTGTTCAATCCTGGCACAGCCAGGGCACACACTGCACCGAAATCAAAATATTATTTGTGTCTCTCCTCTCTATGCTCCTTCTCTGCTAACTGACCGGCGCAATGGCCAGCGCATAGTAATGGTGGTGTCAGTCTTCCATTTTAGAAGAGAGAAGTGCTCATGCCTTTGTACGGAACACTGGTGAGACCTCACTTGGAGTATTGTACACAGTGCTGGAGACCGTATCTCCAGAAGGATATTGATACCTTAGAGAGGGTTCAGAGAAGGGCTACTAAACTGGTTCATGGATTGCGGGATAAAACTTACCAGGAAAGGTTAAAGGATCTTAACATGTATAGCTTGGAGGAAAGACGAGACAGGGGGGATATGATAGAAACATTTAAATACATAAAGGTAATCAACACAGTAAAGGAGGAGACTATATTTAAAAGAAGAAAAACTACCACAACAAGAGGACATAGTCTTAAATTAGAGGGACAAAGGTTTAAAAATAATATCAGGAAGTATTACTTTACTAAGAGGGTAGTGGATGCATGGAATAGGCTTCCAGCTGAAGTGGTAGAGGTTAACACAGTAAAGGAGTTTAAGCATGCGTGGGATAGGCATAAGGCTAGCCTAACTATAAGATAAGGCCAGGGACTAATTAAAGTATTAAGAAAATTGGGCAGACTAGATGGGCCAAATCACTGCAGATTATAGCTACATTCACAGATTATCACTGCCATCCAATTTTGGACAATTAATGAGGAATTGAAACAGACTGACAGATTATCTCAGTGAATTATGAGATACTGTGCTTTGGGTACCATGAACGCTCTATTGTTTTTTTCTAAAAAAAAATGGACATACTGCACCCAAAACTCTGAACACCATAACCACTACAACAAATTGCAGCAGTTTAGTGCTTCAAGTGCACCTTTAATTATTCTGTTTATTACTAGAATACAAATAGAGGAAATTCTTTTGGTTTCTATCAGTTTATTACAAAAACATTTTGTCACGCGTTGTAATGTTT